ATGCAACTGTGAGTGGAGGGTGTGGGACTGGGAGAGGGAGAACTGAGAACTGGAAATGTCTGTACAAAATGACGTCAGCTGGGGGAAAAAATATTCCATAGGCATCAACGCGACTGTAAAACGTAAGCATGTGCTTTAAATGCAAAGTCTTGAAACAGTTTTTACCAGATTTTTTTTTGAGACATGTCTGTTAATGATTACCATAATCATAAGAGATATTATCCGTCCACGGAGCTGGTGCTTGATGCACATAATCTCATTTCGTCCTTACAACTGTCCTGCCAAGTCTGTGGCCTTATTGTCATTTTCTACACAAGAATACTGAACTAAGCCTTGAACTAAAGCTCAGAGAGGAAAAATGGTTTGCTTCAGGGAGTGCAGCTGACAAGTAGAAGAACCAGGATTCAAATTTGGGACTGCTATGCTTCAGAGCCCAAGTTCTTTCCTCTAAATTTAAGTAACTTAAGTAAATTTAAAGCCTCTGGCCAAGCAACATCTGTATATTCTTGGTCTTCAGAGACCAGGTAAGATTAACAAGGCAACTTGCAACAGTATTGTCGTTCACTCTCCCAATTACTCATTTGAAACAAATTGCAATAAAATAATAGAAGTTAGGATTCTCAAAGTAGGTGCCTGGATTTTCGCATCAAGATCACCAATGCATAATTGTACGTGTGTTTGTTTCTGTGTATGTGTGAAAAGGATAGGTTTTATGGCCCTGAAGCTTGTAATCTGGGGAATACAAATATTTCTGGGATGTCTCCTAGGGATCTGTGCCCATCCAGGAGCCTGAACCTCGTTGGCTTCATGCCATATCCACCTTTGCACATAGATGTGCATGTATACGCGTGAACTGTGTGCCTATGTGAAGATACAAGGAGGAGCCAACAGAAGCCGTGGTCCCTTGACCAATAGGCCTTGGGTCCGTTGCTTAGTACAAAAGAAGCACTACTTAGTACTAGTCACTGTGTTTATTTTCTTGGATTAGAGATTTGCAAGAATCAAAGAGGCTAAGAATTATTTGAAAAGTGCCCTTCCAAATTAAGCCAGTGGTCATCAGCCGAGTTAGATACGCAATGCTATGACTCGCGCTTTTTATATTTGGCAGGTAAATACAACTTATTTGCAAATACCTTCTTTATTCTAGAGATCCTTTTGCTAATATTACTTTTTACACATGACCCCCTGCATATATGAAGATGGGAGGAGAACCAATGGACAGCAGATGGGGCGGATGGGAGGGCATCTCCATTTATTTAGAAACCTGTTGTAGACATTCATGGTATGTGTTGCTCCAGAAGGCAGGACTAAGAACCAAGGTATAGGGATTACAGGGGAAGCCAGATTGCAGCTCAACAGAGGAGTTAAGAGCTGTCCAAAAATGGTTTGTGCTGTGGCCAGCTGCCCATCACTGGAAGTGCTCAGCCAAAGCCACTTCTTGGCATGGAAGGGGAGGCAGGGGACTCTATCTAAGAAACCTCTAGAATCCGCTCTAGGTCTGAGATTCTGTTGGACACGTGCTATTACTGCCAGTCACTCACATCACATGCGCAGGAAGCTGGGTCTCTGCTCCCCCACTCCCACCCAGGGATGTGTGCGTGCAGAACCAGCCCCGTTCCCCAATCCTGGTTGCTGAGGAAACAAAAAGCCTTGAATGGGCTGGTTCAGCTAGGGCCACATCAGGGGCTTAGAATTAAGTTGTTTCTTGGCCTAAGACCTCAGGTCTGTGTTCCCATCTGTTAGCCATCCCTTGTGGGTGGCACTCAACTTCCACTGTTGTACTGAATCTCCTAACAGGCTCAGGTAGGAAACTGGCAGCATCCATGGGACTAACCCTTCCCAGCTTTCTCCTACACACTTGAAAAGAAATCTCTGCCTGTTCCCTAGGCCAACTCTAGGATGAGAGGCTGAGAAGGCCTGGAAACATGTGGAGTAGGGCACACATCGGCCCCACTGTAGGTTTAGGCCTCAAAGAGGGACAAGGTGTCCAGAGAGCCTAAGAATGGGTGAGTGGCCTCAGCCTTCTGTACCCGTTCTGACAGGGCAGTATCAAATGACCGTGACTGACACACTCCTGCCCCACTCTCCACGTGACACCTCCTTACAGGTCTGCACAACTGTCTGTCCTAAACCATTTTAATAATGTCAGCAGTAACAATGACACTCGTGTCACTGGCAGTGGTGGTGTTGGTAAAAGCAGCCACTAGTGTTTATTGAGCTTTTACTGTTTGCCTGACACTGTGATGACCTTATCACATGGACCACCTCACTGAAGTGTCACAATGATCCTACAAGGTAGACACCATCAACACTGCCATTTTAAAGATGAGGAAACTGTGGCCTAGACGAGGTAAGGGATGTGGCTGAGGTGGTGCCAGGCTGATTCCGCAGCACAGACTCTCACCCAGTCTGCCATCTTGCCTCACTTTCTCTGAGTACGTGGAGGAATGAAAACACAGAAAGGAAGCACCCTGCCCACTGTCTGGCCTTTGTTGTTGCTGACCCCCCAGGGAGCCTCTCCAGGCAGGGGACAGGGAGCAGCAGGTGCACCCACCCTGCTCTAGTGTCCTTTAACACTCCATGCTGTTGTTTGCATTTTGCAGAGAAGTTCGGGGACTCGCTCAAGGTCACCCAGTGCAGAGGAGCTGGGACTCCGACCCAGGCAGCGTCTGCACTCCCCAGTGCCACATCAGCCTGCCCACCCCTCACCCCACCCCCAGACACTAAATTTGTATTTCCTGGCCTTCCTTCCAAGATGGATGCGCTAATTACTGATCATTTTTTTAGTAATAGTAATCATCAGGAACACATTTTTTTAATGTTTTCATTTTCTGTTCTGCAAACTACCGAAATAAAGCATTGATCAAACCCACAGGATAAAACCCAGTGAGCATGAGGCCGGGCAAATCAGGAAAAGTTCAGGAAGACATTACACTAAAGCAAAAGAAACAAAGTGTTGATTAGGGACTTATTTTTGTATGAGATTAAAATATGAATCATTAAAATAGGACTGTATTTCAGGCTCCGTATCCCGCCTCATCAGAGGCATCACCATGACTACTAGGTTTGGATTCAGTGAATTCCAAAGCCGTTCCCAGCTCGCAAATGCAATCACATGGGCCACGGCTCTACCTTAAATATAACGTTTTGAAAAGTCTGGTTCGGGACACCTCTGCATCTTCCCACCCATCTCCTTTTCATAAAATACCCAACTGACATGATGTCTACAGCTCTTTGAAGTCTTTGGCTTCATTTAGTTATATTAGTAAGTAGCGGCAGAAAGGTGTACCAGTAGCAACCACACGTGAAAGGCAGAGGATGGAACAAAGTCAAAGACACCAGATTCCCTCGAGAATCACTTAGGTGGCATGTCCATGGACTTCATTTGGTACAAACCGGAGAGAACTGAAGGTTTGCAGAAAGGAGGAAGTTAATACAAAGTATTTCTCCAGTTGCTGCTGAGTTTGAAAGAAAACATAACATAGCAATATCTACAGCCTAAAACATGCAGCTAAACAAAGTTGTTAATTAACATTATCTGTTAAAAATGGCTACAATTAGAAACAAAAGCCTATTGTTTGGTACACTGTTGACTGCACGTCTGTGTGTGGGGAAGGGCGTGGGGGGACAGTCAGAGGCCTGTGATATTTTAAAGATTAACCACCCATCCCTATGGGTTTTGAGGCACCCACGTGCATTTTGAACTTGAGCCAAAGGGGTGGGACAAGACCATGACAGTTTTTTTTGCTAATTAACTACTCAGTGGACACTTCAAATACCCGATATATCAGAACAGAGAGTCCCTGCCCAGCCCAGCGCCAGCCATCCTCTGCTAGGGACTGACATCTCAAGATGATTTTCTAGAGATTGTAGAACCTTGGAGCTGTGCCTATATGTATTTTTAAAAGAGGGAAGCATCCCAGAATGTGCCAGTTCCTTATAGAGCATCTCCAATAGTTAGCACCTCTAACTGGACTTGCGAATGTTTTTTTTTTTAATATATTCTTTTCCTGCCTGGGATTGGGGTTGGTTAAAAAGGCATATTTTTCTCTATAGGAAAGATTTCTATGAAGAATCTATGAGTCGTTGTTTAAACATTAAAAATGCTCGTACTTAATGACTTCATAATTCTAATTTGAGTAATCTAACGTACAAGCAAAGATAGACGTAAAAAGATATCTTCACAAAAATAATAGCAATGAATAGGGATAGCGTAAATTTCCGGTAAAGTCTGGTATAGGCCTCTGATAGGTCATTATTATATAGCCACTAAAGCAGTTTGGTAAAATGGAGAAGTCTTCAAAACCTAATGTGGAGGTAAGAGAGTCTATTAGACTATTAGAAGCTGGTTCAAACTGTATAGCTATAGATACTGTTAACAGGGCTCCTTTCTCTCGGCAGTGCGACTGTAGGTGATTTTTTATTTTCTTTCTGGTTTTCTGCATTTTAAAAACTTTTTGGTATATTACTATAATAATCAAAAAGGTTTTGTTTTTTAAAAAAAAAAATCACATGGCTCTGACCTTGTGAGTTTCAGGTACTCTATCCTATCCCCATGAGCTCTATTGAGGGCGGGGAGCCTGCCTGCTTTGCTCCTCATGGTACCTTTAGAACAAGGCCAGTCACACAGCTAAAGCTTGATAAATGGTTGTTGAAAAATATGTCTCCATTGCAGCTGGGCAAGGTGGCTCATACCTGTAATCCTCGCTCTCTGGGAGGCCAACCTATGTGGATCACCTGAGCTCTTGAGTTCCAGACCAGTATTTCAACTCTACTAAAATAGAAAAATTAGCTGAGTGTTGTGGCAAGAGCCTGTAGTCTTAGCTACATAGAAGGCTGAGGCAAGAAGAGCTCTTGAGCCCAGGAGTTTGAGGTTGCTGTGAGCTATAGGATGATGTCATAGCGCTCTAGCGTAGGGCAACAGAGTGAAACTCTGTCTCCAAAAAAAAAAAAAAGAAAAAGTCCCCATTTCCCCATTTCTTTTTCCTTTCCCTTTGCAGGAGATGTGCTCTATGAACTCCTTCAGCATATCCTGAAGCAGAGGAAACCTCGGATTCTTTTCTCACCATTCTTCCACCCCGGAAACTCTATACACACACAGCCGGAAGTCATACTGCATCAGAACCACGAAGAAGGTACTTGCTTGGAAGAGGCTCTGTTTCCTTACCTGAGGTTTAGATGCATCCAGGAGGTTCAATTGTTCACAGGCTAAGCTGTTCTTATGCATGAAATTTCATTTTTCATTCGGCAAACATTAATTGGCTGCTTACTATGTATAAGACACTGGGGGAAATACCTTGATGCATAAGATGCACTCTTGGTTCTCTGAAGCTCAGCCCGTAAGTCAAGCACTGAGATGGGTATAGGTAAAAGTACAGCGGGATTCTGATAAACAAGGATGACACAGAGAACATTCCAGCAGAGAAAATGACATGAGGGTGGGGCAGCGCCTTGGAATAGGGAGCAGTCAGATGATAGATGACGTGGGTGGTAGAGCTTATCTTCTCACTTTTATTATGAAAGATTTTGAACCTACCCCCAAAAGCAAGAATTAAACAAATGTCTCCCTGCAAGCCCTCCACTTCCATAGTGATCAGTATTTTGCCATTACAGGGCTATTCTAAGGAGCTTAGCTTGGAACTAGAGTGTGAAGAACTTTGACTTCTGGTATGTAAAGGAAAGTAATAAGGGGGTACAAAAGGTTTTTGAGCAGGGGTTAATAAAAACTGGGAGAAAGGAAAACAGCCCATACCCTGTGAACTAGGTGTTGGGTGGAGCTTTCTTCATCACACACCAAAGGAGGCTGGCTCCAGGATGCACAGTACATTGTTGAATTCAGATGTCCTAGCTGCTCCTTTTTCTTTGTGAGTCACAATGATCATTGGTAGAAAACAGAAGACCAGGCAGTGCAGTGGCTCACGCCTGTAATCCCAGCACTTTGGGAGGCCAAGATGGGAGGATTGGTTGAGGCCAGGAGTACAAGACCAGCATGGGCAACATAGTCAGGCTTCATCTCAAAAAAAGAAATTTAAGAATTATCTTGGTGTGGTGGCACATACCTGTAGTCCCCTCTCTTGGGGAGGCTGAGCTAGGAGGATCACGTGAGCCCAGGAGTTCAAGGTTGCAGTGAGCTATCATCATGCCATTGTACTCCAGCCTGGGCAACACAGACTGGCATCATTCATTCACTCATAAATAGATAAATAATCAGTCATACTTACATACATAAATAACCAGCCAACCACCAAGCGTACTGAATTTAGGCCCTGGACATAGTCTCAAGAGTAGATGGTTGGTATGGGAGTCTTACTCTGAACACTATTCTGCTGCACAGCTGAGTATACAGTAGCATTCCCTGCGGGATTATGCCTCTGAGGGTCAGGATGTCCACATCCTCCTGACCAGTCAGTCACACAACAGAGGTTACACACACTAGTAAGTTTGCACCTGTACTCACATTACGAAGGGATTGAAGCCCTGGTGCCTTGGGGCACTTTTTTAAATTGATGGATCATCCCCTGGAGCAGGACTAATGTTTTTGTTTTGTCGTGGGCAAATTTAAAAAATGAGAAGTTTTCTGTTTTCTTAACACTTCACAAAAGAGAACCTGACTCCAGGCTAGCAAAGCATTTCTCAGCAGCCTCTCACTTCCGTGGTGGAGGTAAAGGAGCATTTTGTGCACGCTCCTTGCCTTCCTCTCATCCTTTTCTCCCCTGGCTTTACCTTTGCTAACTTTAGCAGCTGCCCTCCTCCCCCGATTCAGTTTTCAGTTCTTGAGCTCTTCCTGCCATGTACATTTCCGGCTTGCATAATAGCCAGCAGCCACTTCAGAGAGGAGGAGGTGGGTTTACTGAAGCTTGACATTAAGGCAAGAAATAGATTACCTGGCCTAAGGATAGATACAAAGGATGTTTGATGGGGTTTTTTTTTTCCCTCTCTCTTTCTCTCATTATTTAAAAAAAAGAAAAAAAACACACACAAGTATCCCTGAATGTGAATGGGGACTTACAGTCTCACCTCCTCCCAATCCTTTTTTCTCTTGGCCTGATTTGACTCATAAGTCCGTATGTGGTGGTGTTCTCATTTGCAGGAGCTCATCAATAGAGAAATCTGGCTTTGAGAGCTGCTTTCAAAACAAATACAGTTGTGCCACAGCATATGCTGTCATGAGTTTGCTCTCAGGTCCCATGATGTCATTGGTAAGAGAATGAGGCCAAGCTTGAGGGCACTGTCCCATCATCACCCTGCAGACCAGTTAGCGCTGCCTTAGATATAGCTCTTAAAATAGCACATTCTTAGAAACCATTACTTAAAGCTAATGGCTAGGAAGCAAGATCAGAGACTACATGTCCTCCTCTTTCTGTCCAAGCCTGATGCACACTCTCAGAGGGCCAGGAATACACAGTAAGAAGGAGAGTATGGGTCTCTATCAGGTAGAATCCAGTGAGAATAACCACTCAGGCACAGAGGCTGCCCCCTACCTTTGTGCTTTCAGGTATACATGAGTGCCCTTGATGAGAAAGACACCAGGCAGACAGGTGCATGGATCAGTACAAGTTCCCTACCTCCAGCCACCTCCTGCCTCTTTCCCTTCACCACCAAAAAGAAAAGAAGAATTATCTGTAGTATCAATACTGTTATATTTAATGGCAAAGGATAACAGACAATTGATGTGGACATGTTAATATACTAAAAGATCTGGTCCTGAAAAAAAAAGTCGGTGAAATTATGTATATCAAATATTGCTTCCTCGATGACTTAGTTTACAATACTGAAGATATGGTACCATCTCAAAGTATGTTGGCCCAAGACAAGATAGATAGATAGATAGATAGATAGATAGATAGATAGATAACAGCCTAACTCTACTAGTAAGCAGCTTGGTGAGGTCTGAGGTCTGAGGGGCAAGTGTAGACACAAGGTTTTATTCAACCCCCTTGTGACTTCACCCAGTGACAGCCACTAGTTTAATAGTTCAGACATTCAGCTCGGCGCCTATAGCTCAACCGGCTAAGGCACCAGCCACGTACACCTAAGGTGGCGGGTTCGAATCCAGCCCGGACCCACCGAACAACAATGACAGCTGCAACCAAAAAATAGCCGGGCGTTGTGGCGGGCGCCTGTGGTCCCAGCTACTTGGGAGGCGGAGGCAAGAGACTCGCTTGAGCCCAGGAGTTGGAGGTTACTGTGAGCTGTAATGCCACGGCACTCTACCCAGGGGGACAGCTTGAGGCTCTGTCTCAAAAAAAAAAAAAAAAATAGTTCAGACATTCATAATTTCGTGATAGGAATTTATGTCACAATACAATGTGTCTTGCTCAATCAAGCACCAGTTGTCCACAGATATCCTCTTATATCTTACAGTGAAATCACATCTTCCTCTGGAGTAGCCCCGTAGCAGTGATGTTAGCAGTGATGTTAGCATGTTAGTCCATGCCTTAAAGGAGAGGAGGAGGATAGCACTTATTCAAACTCTTTCTTTTGTCAACATTCTTTGTAAGTACTCTATTCTGAGATTGTGTCATGCAGCAAAGCAGTTCCCAGATTACCCCCTACATCTAGGAAAATCAGCATTTTCACTCCCTTATTAATTGATTATGGGAAGAGAAGATGATGTTATATAATTAGGTTAACCATAAAATTTCTCATTTATATGAAGACACTCATGGCATTGACACAGGGCTCCATTAATAAGTAAGCCAGGACAACAGGTATAGACCAGAACCCTCCCAGATAGACTGGGAGGAGAGGGGTGTTCATGTGTATGACAAGTTTTTTAAAGGATGGAATCTGGAAGCCAGGAAACCTGTTTCTGATCCTTCATTCTACTGGAACAAATCATGAGGGCAAAGTCTCTTATGTCTCTGGCTCAGTTTCCCCAGTGGTAAGTTGGTATTTAGACTAAATGGTCTCTGAGCCATCTATAACTCTCAGATCCTCACATTACATCCAGGGTTCCTGAGTCTCCCTTGATGATAGGAAGACAAATAAGACACATTCCATACCCTCAGGGTCTTGGGCATCAAAAATCCAGAAAATCATAACAAGGTCCTGCCTTGTGTTGCCCAGAAATAGGAGAAAATCCTTTCTGTCTTCAGTAGTCTCATCTATTAAGAATGTCTGATAACATTTCCCCTCTCAATAGTTAAACCAAGGAGTAGCATCATTCATTCATTTCATGATAAAAAGCTCAGTTTAAGCAGAGTTCTTTTCTCTGACTATTTGACTCATATTATCTGCCTAATCCAACTTAAAGGGGAGGTAGGTAGTTAGGTAGAAAGGAGGCAAAATGAGTAATGACCCTACTTCTTTCATGAAAACCAAAAAGCAGATTATCTTTGGAAATATCAGACCAGCAAATGACAACAAAATAAATTTGTTTTGTCACATGCAGTTGTACTGGCAACTTCTTTTGGTAACTTAGGTTCTAAAATCAGTTTCTTTTAGATCAGGCATCCTCAAACTACAGCCCACGGGCCACATACAGCCCTCCTAGGACATTTATCTGGCCCGCTGGGTGTTTTTGCCACTGATGCCTGTCCTGCTTAGCAGCCAACTCGTCCCAGGGCCCACAGTCTAGCCCGCCCAACAGTCTGAGGGACAGTGAACTGGCCCTCTGTTTAAAGGGTTTGAGGACCCCTGTGATCCTATGGAGCTAAAAGGAACTGATTTTAGCTCCTTTCCAAAGAAAGGCTTTGTCCCCAAAATATATACTCAGTTGCCACTGGTCCTTTGATGTTGGGACTACTTGAATAGTGTTTCCCTAAAAGCACGTTGGACGATATAAAATAAGCTTACCTCCTGAGCTACAATTTCTGAAGAGGGCAGCTGGACAGAGTCACCCTGTCGAACTTCACTATGCCACAATCTGTAGTCACAAGGAACAAGCACTTTCTCATCCGACCACCCCTTTGGGGGACCCTTCCATAACGTCACCTTTTCAGTCCTGCCCCTTCTGGTGCCCCATCAGAGAGATTTTTAATCACTTTAATTTGAGACTGTTGACACGTGCAGTGCTTTGATTATTTCTATAGCAGGAGATGCAGTTTTAACCCTTCCTGATCCAATTTTTCTGCCACCCACATACTCCTCAGCTCTAATTTATTTGAAGGAGGAAAGAGGTTGCTGGATTACT